GATCCAAGACATTTTTCGTACACCTCCAATGCGCGGCGATTCATCGTCTCCGATTCTTCATACCTCCCTTGCTCCCGCAGCATCAAAGCCAGGTTGTTGACAGCCATCAAAGTATTAGGATGGTCCGACCCAAAACATTCTTCGTACCCCTGCAATGCGCGGCGATTCATCACCTCAGATTCATCATACCTCCCTTGCTCCCGCAGCACCAGAGCCAGGTTGTTGACAGCGATCAAAGTATTAGGGTGGTCCGATCCAAGATATTTCTCGTATCCCTCCAAAGCGCGGCGATTTAGGAGCTGTGATTCTTGATACCTTCCTTGTTCCCGTAGCACCAGAGCTAGGTCGATGACAGCTATCAAAGTATCAGGGTGGCCTAATCCGGAAGTATTCTCCACGTCCTGTAGCACCTTAAGAAATATAACCTCTGCCTCCCCCGTCCTTCCTTGGTACAAGAGCGCCTCTCCTAAGAGCATAATTTGAGAGAATCTCTCACCCTTCCAGTCTCGTTCTTTATCAACCTCCCGAAGAGAAAGGCATTGGCGTGCTTGAATCGCGGCATTATTATAGGAGCCCATTTCGAAATAATGCTGTCCCATGCGATAGACAAGGCCTTCGGCAATTGTATCAGCCGAATCTTTAGTTAATACCAGCGCATGAGACATGTAAGCTGCGCAAATATTCCGCCGTTTGTACTCATACTTAGGGAATAGCCTTGAGATAGCCCTCAATCCAACAGCTCTCCCCTGATTGGCCTCCTCTACCGATAGATACGCCTGAATGGAGAGTTGGACCAAACGGTGAAGCTCATAAAATGTTGTGCCTTCATTTTTGACCTCCGTAACCAGTGAGAACCTCAATAGTTTCCCAATCGCCTGACAAAATTTAAGCGAATCATTCATGCCCTCGAGTCCGGAGTGAGTCAGCACCTTCTCGGGTATGTTCTGACGGTCGAGAGATGCAACTAGCCCGAGAAGTTTTACCGTCAGGGGCATCTGTTCCGTGATTCTGTCAAAAGTGATAAAGTAGGTACCCAGGATACTTTCAGTCATGTCGACCTCTCGTTGGATGTCGCAAAACTGCTCCGAAAGTAGCTCTTTCGTTCGTTTATCATTCTCCTGGAAAATATTCCAGTAAACGGATGGTGGTGTCCCATTCTCGGTCATGAAAGCTGCTGAACCCACGACAGCCAACGGTAGGTGATCCATCGAGTCTAGGATCCTTGCAACAGCTCCTTTTTCTTCATCTTCCAAACTGTGCCAGCTATCAAATCGGTTTGAAAACAATTCTAGGGCCTCTTCCGGCTCCATCTTGCCAACTTTGATAATCTTACAGCCCTGTCGAATCGCAACCTGCCGAGATCTGGTGGTGAATATCACAGTTCCTTCACGACCTTGTGGCACAAACTTGGAAATGGGGCTATTGTTTCCAATAAAGTCGGCCTCATTGTCGGCATTGTCGATAACTAGGATCCAATCGCCACCATCAGGACCTTCGAGCCACGTCCTTGTACTCCGGAGCAATTCCTCTTCTTTCCCAGCGCCCGCTAGAGGAATCCGGACATGCTGTGCAATAGCCTTATAGCCCTCCCGAAATTTCAATATCCCACTTCCCTGCACCCAGAAGACATCACAACGGCTTTCAGTGGAACGCCGGTAAACGTATTCTAGAGCAATCTGGGTTTTTCTAAGTGACATTAGTAAGCCTCATACAAATACAATGGAATGCCAAATACGCACCCACAACCCCCCAACCCATGGAGTGCGACTCGGTTGTGAGCCCCACTTTTGCAAATTTCTTTTATCGACTCGATGACACTCTCACGGCCAGTGAATGTGCTGTTCCTGCAATAGGGAACCATCCAATATGGCCTCGATGGTTCTCCCGGTTCTGATGGTGTGTTAGCTTCTGGATGGAAATCAGGGGAGAAATGGCAATACCCCCGTCGCTACCCCTCATTCCATGCCCTTCATTTCCCCCGTCCAAATCGGTCATATCGCGGACCTGAATGCTCCAGAAAATATTGCCGTTGCCGAAGACATTATGGTTACCCGTATTCCCGCTGAAGCTTCCGTTGACATTAGATTGCACTTGACCAATTCCGCTACGAGTATCGATGTTAGAAGTGTGACGCAGCAGGAGAAAGACACCCACCTATCCATCACCCTATTACTACTTTCTGCTTGCTGGGAAGCCATATTCTAACCTTGGATACTATCCAAGCAGGCTGTGGCTCGCTTGTCAGAAGCGAAGTTGGTCACCGCCTTGCCACTTATTGGGATAGTGAAAACTATCCCCACGCAAGCCCAGGAATAGGTAGAAGGCGTTTGGTGTGCTCAAGCGTGGGAGTAAACCTATGGATGGAAATGAATGATTCCCTGGTTTTTGCTCTGCCGTGGAGTATAATCCTAACTACCGGGAGTGCTGCGTGGGTCCAGTAAAGGCCAAATTGTGCTTTAATGTGGATGGACACCAGGGCTTAGGGAAGGAGGCTGGAACGTGAGAATCGGAAAACCGACGCATGGGTTGGGGTTGGGGAAGGAAAGGGGCTTGGGGGAAAGGAAAATGTGTTCGTGGTTGGTTCAGCCTCGGTCGGGATCTGGACCAGGGAAAGTTCTTGTGGGAGTACCGGTAGTTGGGTGTAACGTTGAACCGGCATTTGCTTTTTTCCCGCTGAATGGAGGAAACAATATCAGGAGCCTCACCACCGTGGTGGAGATTCCCGCATCACACAGTACGGTACTCGTACTTTACTCGCACTCGCACCTACAGACGCCCACTTCGCGTTGCTCAGTCAGCCGGAGTTACCGGGAACACAAACCCCGAACCGACCGAATAGTCCTGGTAGACAAATAGCGCTGATTGACTTCGTCCCGGGGGGCCTGGCATATAATCCTTATCTTCTCCCAGTCGAGGACCGGCATATTTCCAAGGAGATACACGCACGGTCTTCATAAGGTTGATCCGGTGACCAATATATGTTCCAACTCAGCGCATAATACGATGAACAGAGATCGGTGAAAACTCTAGAAGCATCCTCTGCCCTTTACTCGAGTATCGTACCTAAATGAACCCCCAACACATGCACACACAACCCTCAAGGGTGACGCCCCAACAGAGAAAACCCCCACCATCCAAGCAGCTTCCCAGGACCCACTTCAAATCTAGTCCAACCCACAGATTGGGGGTTTGCCCTCTGCAAATGTCTCGGGATCTAATCAGAGGTTCTGGTTCAATTCCTATGCACATTCACATATGAACCATCTATGTCTCCGGCTTTAAATTTAGTTGGTTTCCCCGCACAACGTACTCGCACAATCTTAAACCCCTTCGAACAATGAACCAGCATCCGTTCAATGCCATAGACAGCAGTACAAGCACTCGGATTCCTTAGTCCGTGAGTAGGGCCCTAAAAGGACGGGAATGAGGTTTATAGGCCATGTACGCATGCAGGGGTATATCCGTGAACGCTCTATGGATGATAATTGGTCGATCCTGATATTTCACAAGTAACCGGCCTCCAGAGCTCGAACGCTCTATTGCCGAGCCCATTACCAAGAACTACTGGTACCGTACTATACTCGAGTATGGTACCTCAGTGTCCATGGATTTCATCCCGGGCTTTAAGGGGAAAGTGACTGAGTCTTGGTGGTTTAGCCCGTTTCCCAACAAAAATAGCCGAAAACCCCAGTTTTCAATTGTTTATAAATTTAGTTCATCAGAGGTAAATTCTCCTTTTCCCATATTTCGGTTTCAAAATCGCTTCATCTGTGTAATACCGCAGGATTAATTTGAAGCTTGCTTAGCACTAACCACGGGTACTGCAAACTTGTGAAGTTGTATTCTACCATTGCTTAAAAGTTGTTATTATCATTAGTTTACTACTCTCACGGCCAGTAAATGTGTTGCTCCTGCAATAGGGAACCATCCAATATGGCCTCGATGCTTCTCTTGGCTCTGATGGTGTGTTAGCTTCTGGATGGAAATCAACGAGAAATGACAGTACCCCCGCCCCTAGTCCTCACTCCCTCCCCTTCATTTTTCCCGCCCAGATCGGTCATATCGCGGGGAGCCTGAATGTTCCAGATAATGTTGCCGTTGCCGAAGACATTATGGTTACCCGTATTCCCGCTGAAGTTTCCGTTGGCATTGGATTGTACTTGGCTAATTCCGCTACGAGTATCCATGTTAGAAGTGTCGCAGCAAGAAAAAGACACCCACCTATCCATCACCCTATTACTACTTTCAGCTTCCTGGGAAGACATATTTGAACCTTGGATACTGTCCAAGCAGGCTGTGGCTGGCTTGTCTGAAGCGAAGTTGGTCGCCCCCTTGTCACTTATTGGGACAGTGAAAACTGTCCTTTCGCAAGCCTAGGAATAGGTAGAACGCGTTTGGTGTGCTCAAGCGTGAGGCTGAATTTGGGGATGGAAATGAATAACTCTTTAGTTTTTATTCGGTTGTGGGGCAAAATCCAAACTAGCGGGGCTCTGCTTGAGCCCAGTAAAGGCCGAAGTAGTGGGTTAATGTGGGCGAACACCAGGGCTAAGAGAAGGACATCGGAAAACAGAAACCTGGGTTGGGTTGGGGGAGGAAAGGGGGTGAAGGAAAATTTGTTCCACAGCACACCCGTACCGGTATTCAGCTCCTGGTATCAGAAGTCCGGAAAAGTAATTAGCGGTAGTTCAGCCTCTCTCGGGATCTAAACCAGGGCATGTTCTTGTGAGAATAGTTGGGTGTAACGTTACCGACATTTGCTTTTTTCCGCTGAATGGACAGGACGATGTCAAGAGCCTCAAGACTGTGGTGCAGATTCCCATATCACACAGTACTCGAGTACCGGTACTCGCGCTTGTGGCCGCCCACTTTGAGTTGCTTAGTTGGCCGGAGTTACAGGGAATACAAACCACGAACCAACAGAATATTCCTGGTAGAAAAATGGCGCTGATCGATCTTGTCCTGGGGAGGCCTTCCAGATAATCCGTAGCTTCTGCCAATTGAAAACCGACACACCGCTACCGTATTTCCAAGGAGAGACATGCGAACGGCCTTCATAAGGTTGATCCGGCGGCTAGTGTATGCCCCAAGTCGGCGGATAAAAACAACGAACATAATTATCATAGGCCAACCGAAAATCTAGAAACATTCACTACCCTTCATCGAACCCAAGCGAACCCCCCCCCCAAAAAAAGTGCACGCACATGCAACGCATAAGCACAATACCGCAATAAAATAAAAGTTCCATCATCCGCCAGGACTCACTTCAATCCAATCCAACCCACAGATTAAGTGTCTATCC